ACACCAAGGCTCCCCATCAGAAAGGATGACAGTTTTTAGTGAGATACAAAAAGTTGCAGAAGTTTACTACCACAGCAAGAAGCTAAAAGATCCTGATTGTCTTCTACCTTTCAAAATTTTAACCAGAACACAGTTTATGAATCCCATGAAATTGTAGTCATTGCACATTAAATGGAAAAACTTTTCTTTTGACTGCAAAAGAGGCATTGATGAGCAAAAGTTTAGCTTTGAATGCTCTCCTAATCCAACATCCTCTCTGCTGCCTCACCCAGAAAAAGAAAGATAAAAGACTATTCAATCATTAGATAAGTTTCACACTGCTGGTGGCCGTCCAGCAGAAATTGGAGACAAAAGCAAAGATTCATTTGGGCCACACTCCAATTACACCTTTTAAAACATCAGTGAGAAGATGCAACACTAAAATGCTTACAACAACAACAACATAACCAGTAGAATTCCACAAGTGGGGTCTGGGGAGGATAATGTATGCGCAGACCTTACCCCTACCTTAGAGAGGTAACACTAAAATGCTTCTAAAGATAAAAACTCAATTAGTCAATGGTGTATCTCATTCTGAGGGAAAAGGAACATCCTTTTTGGCTTAGAAGTCCGTAGTCTTTTCCATATAATCTTTCTTCAGATGACTATTAGAGTCCGCATGGCTAGCCCAATTCATATACAAAAGAACTCCACGCCTCCATCCCAGTCGAGACGCTAACTCTTTTTCCCTATTTTGCAAGTGAAACTAAATTGCCAATGTTATCATGACATCTAGGTGACAATAACTCATAAAACAAAGCAAAAGGTCATACTTAACATAAAATTTCAGCAGAAAAGCTCAGGTGGTTCTCTGACAATTAATATAGCAACGTTCATGGTTTCAAGTAGCTCTTTCTGTTTAGGACTGATATCTACTGGCGACCTCTATGGCTGGTTGCTATTTTTTATTTATTTCAATAACAGTGGTATCCGTGCCAAGCTTGCGCACGCCTCAACTAAATCCACCGATTACCTGCTACCTCCCACCAGTATATGTATCGGGTACCTCTATGGCTGGTCTCTATACTTGTTCGGCTTCTTGTATAAAATTTCCATCACATCACACCAAATGCTTAATCATGCTTTCTACAATTACAATGTTAGTTTGTCAAAGTGGAATTCATATGCTTTACTTTCTTTCTTTTTTTAACCGAGAAATCCTCGAGACCAATGGAGCATGATTCGAAACTAAGTGGATAAGGGGTCCGCCCCTCTACCCTTCTCCACTTAAATATAATGCTTTTTGTCTGCAACATAGTTTGAACCAATGACGTGCGTCTAACCCACACATCAAGCATTGCGCTCTTTCCGCTAGGCCAAAGCCTTGGGATTTGTAAGACTTTACATTAAAACCACCACTTTCATCCTTTAGCTTCTTGTTAAATCAAATTTGAGGGCAGCCAAACTGCCAATAGCACCTTTTCCTTCTCATTTCTACAGTAACAAATGTTTCCAGACTCAACATACAAAATTTTCAATTTTACCGGAAAAAGTTATAATCTTTCCTATCTAATCATCACAATAAATCACCATTCTCAAACTATCTCATAAAATCTTGAACAAACTTCAATTCACATAACAACAATCCACACACATGTAATTATTTCTCAACAGATGTTAAAAAAAAAACTAAAAGAGGAATAGTTCAACAATACGAACCGTTCATTGCGGGAGGCAAGATTGAGGAGGGCTAATAAAGCAGCTTCACGAGCAAGAAGAGAAGAAGAAAGCTGAAGCATATCAACCAACGGCGGAATAACGCCGGCTGCAGCAAACCGGGAACGAGTCTTGCCGGAAGACGATGACCTCCTCACTAGTTTCCTAATTTCCTTAGCTGCCTCAATCTTTTCCTTTTCTTCCACTTCACCCCTCAACTTCTCCGCTATTTCTTCTATTATATTCTTGCTTTTTTTGTTCTTTTTTATCTCCTCTTCTTCATTTTCAAGATTGCATTTTTCTTCCATTAATGGCTCCTCTCTTACCATTTTCAGACACCCTTTTGAGCTCTCTTTTAAAGGGTATGTTCAGAATTTTACAAACAGATGATGTGATTTTGTTGATTTTCTTACAGGTGAAGATCTTTCAAGATTCAACTGTTGTACTTTCCCTTTTGGAGGTTGTACGTACCGTGACTCCAGGGAAAAAAAGTTCTCTGTATTGTCATTTTCGTACTTTGCTCTTTTGGAGTTTGCATAGAGTCTTGCGTATTCTATGGTAATTTACATGCACCCCCCTAAAGTTTAAAAACAAATATATAGAACCCTTTACTTAGGAAGTAACGCCCCATCTAACCCAAAAAAGAATGGGAAACAACTATGCTTGGTAGCAGTCAAGTTTAAATGAATAAAATGTTTTTAGATTTAGAATAATCTCAGCGTCCTATGCATTATATATAGGGGTTGAAAAAATTGAGATCATGTAATTCACGTAGTCTAATTTCAAATAACCACGATATTGTCGTCAAATTTAGCTCAATAATGCACATATTAATATAAAATATCCTCTTGACATGAAAATGATTCATCTATGAAAAAATAATAAATTTATAAAGAGTTTAACTTTGGCGGTATAGAAATTAATTATCTAAAATATAATTATAGGTTAATTATACATAATAAGTGGAAGTGTGGAAATAATAACCTAAAAATTAAGACTAACGTTATTCTATAACTCATTAAATTGTACTGATAGTATAAATATGACATTACATTAATAGTAAATATATGTTAAATTCAATGATGAAAACTCAAGCTGCCTACGCCATCTGTATGAATTAGGGCGATCGGGTCCGAATCGCGTACAATTTTGCCGGCTCATCAAAAACAATATAGGGAACAATAGTCATCGTTTTGCTATGATCGTTTCTCATTTTTTGGCGTTTTAGGGTCATAAAGTTTCGCACTATTTCTAAATTTTCGTGTGTTATAGCTCACGTCATCTCCTTGAAGTGGCCATATACTGAATTAAATAACTATCCTAATTTCCACCTATCAAATTCAAAAATATTAATCAACTATATTATAATTTATTTTTACAAGAGTCTAATTTAGGGGCGTGTGGTGTGATTGATTAGTATGAATTATTGATTGATTGATAGGGAGACGTGTAAAATGAAGTTAATACATTTGGAACATTTGGACGAAAGAAATTAAAGCAAAGTTGCTCCAAGTATACAAACAAGGAGGCCAAATGGAACACATTAATGTGTCGATCATTATTAGGAAATATATTGTTTTTAATTTACTCCCTTTGTGATGTTTTCTTGATTGAGTCAAAAGAACGAGAAAATGTCTTTTTCAATTACTTGATTAGGATGAAATTATTTGGGAAGGTACATAAAATGACAAGAAAAGTAGTCTGCAAACCAAAAGTCCTAGCAAGTATGTGGTTGGATTTCATTGTAGACTCGTTATATTAATATTTCAGCCTTAATAGTCACTTTTATGTGTCAAATTTTCGAAGAATAATTTCAGCCACATAACTATATTAAATTAATTAAAACTGTAAAATTCATTGCGATTATAGCGAATAAAATTCAATTACCATACGAAAGATTAATCCCTTTGGAGTTTGGAGGTGTGATGATAAAATTAGATATTAAACAGGCAATTTAACAGGGATAATTCAAATCTCCTTTACCCTTTGCCGGACAATTAAGGGAAAATGACATTGTATAGCCGCTCTTACAATAATAGTCGAAAAAATATATATTTTTTATATATATACATTATGTATGTTATATATAAAAATTATACAAATTTTATACACTTTTTCGACAGCCGAATATAAATAGTTTCTGACGCGGGCTAAAAGTGATAATACCCCGACAATTAATTAAGGCTTTCCTTTCTAGCCTAAAGTTCCATGGGAAGTTGCTGAATCCATTAGAATAAAAGGAATTGTGATATTTGGTACAAATATGTGACTTTGCACAACTACATATATTGGTAAATGGTTTGGTTACCTACCAATCATACCTAGTTTATATATTGATTTGGTCAATCTCAAAGAATTAAGAACCAATTTTTTAACTTGGTAAAACCCCTCAACTCTCTCGCAAAAGAAAAAGGGCAAAAAAAAAAAAACGACTTTACAGAAATTTGCACTTATTCTTTGTTTTTTTTTTGTGTGTGTGTGTTGGCGCGCCAGTCAACAATTAACCGTAGTAAATAACGCAATTTGGTGTTTGATTTGGTGCAAACACCAGTTTAGTTAATAGATTAGTGCTTGTTCATTTGAATTTGCTATGTCCGATGCACACAAGTAGTTTGGAAGATATGTTTGTATTTTGAGATTTTCTTACAAAATGTAGCCGAATGTAATAATGAATGTACTATTCTTAAGACTGGATCCTGCAATTTTGAGTGTACTGATATTCTTAACATTAGGACTAGAATTTTGCTCCTTGAATTCCATAGTTTGTTGCCTTGCAATTGTTTGGATGTCAAGTATGTCAACTTACATTGCAAATACTTTGCACCTGAAGGACTCGTTTGGTATAAGAGATAAGGGATAATCAATCTCTAGATTAAATTTGAGATGAGTTTATCCCATATTCAATTGGATTATGGCATTTTTTTATCCCTATGGAAGGCTAGAATAACTAATCTCGGGATAATTAATCATGAGATAACTTATTTCCCAACCAAACAAACCCGAAACAGTTTAATTTTTCCTTGACCAGAATTAGGACAAGCTCATGCTTTGTGGATGTCATTTAATCTGGCATCTCTTCTACAAATCCAATCTTCAATCATTTTCAATTATTTACTGCAGCTCATTTACATGATAATCAAACCTTTAACTAAAAATAAAACCAACACCCAAAATAATAAAAAAACACAGCAAAGAGGAAGCAAATCAGACCCTTCTGGAAAATTAGCACTGCAATACTAGTGCATCCCCATTGCCCCAAGAAATAGAAAGAGATGAAAAATTTCAAGATTAGAGAATTCTTGCTGTGAATTGCAAGCATGACCACCAATATTCTCAAAATTTCAACACCACAACAAGAAATTTTCAAGTTGTATCAATTTGCCCCCACAATATACCACTAATAATGCCGCAATTCGCTTTGCACCAACCACCAATTACAACAGTCCCATAAAGTTAAAATCAACTTTACAGGTACAAAGATAAGCGCGAAAGCAAGATGTATGAAAAAAAACCCTAGAACCTCATTGCTTTCAACAGTCCTAAAATCCTACAAAAAGAAGAAATATATAGGGAAGAAAAAGTTTTTAAACTCTCACGGTTATGCTAATAACGCTGAAAAACTATTGAAGGCTATCAAGTTTTAACAAAAACCATTTCGCATGTATCTGCCTCAACCAAAAATCTGCCACTATCGGTTACAGGAGGATTCACCATTTCCTCAGTCCCAAGCAAGAAGAGATACCTTGGTGAAGTTCATTGGTTGGCACCCCTTCTAAAAATTTACAGTCAGCCTGCACACTTCTTTCCAACATTTGATGGAACCATTCCTCCACATCCAGAACGTCGCATCTCTAAAAACTCCAATGACGATTTTCACTTCTTGTTTTTATAGTTTGCAAAAGAAAGGACCAGCTCATCAGTAACTACTTGGCCAGTTAATCTGTGAATGCTGAGGCCGTTGATAGACATTGGCTGTTGGTCCTACCATATCAACTGGACCGGCCATCGTTTGAGACTGCTGCATAAGTGGGTGAACAGTTGATGCTGTAACTGGTTGTGCTGGGTGATAAACACCAGCAAAGTTTCCGTGTCCAGGTTGATTGGGTGTTAGAGCCACTTGACCCTGAGGATGATTATAAAAGGAACTTGCTTGCAAGCTAGATAAATCTCGATTGTGTGCATTAATCCACACACCTGAGCTTTCACTCTGCAAGAAAAGAGATGTTGCACCTAAATCACATTCCTTCAAAAATATAGACAGATGATAAACATTTTTTATAAAGTGATGAAAAGAAGGAAATCAATTGGCCCAGGGTCAGCGTCAGGGTCCCTCTGGACAATGCTATTTCACAAACTTAGATACCTTCAGGGAAAGAGGACATCGTGTCATGGTACAAGATATTTAATCACAGAGAAGGAAACTTAAGTATGAATCTAACCAACCACTACACCAACTTATTTCTGGAGCCAACTAAGTTAATTAGGCAAAAGAAGAAAAGCTCAACAATAAATTACATTTAGAGACGTCAATGAGGAATGCTCCTTTTCAAAAAAAATTACATTTAGAAATTCAAACTGTTATATCTGTTTCAGAAATACGGAATTCTTCCGTCAACCAGATTGCAGAGAAGTACCAGTGTTCAATTAAACAGCATACAAACCTCACTACTACAATGTTGCCCCACGCGAAATTAAAGTCTCTATAACAAACACAAGGAATTTGTAAGTACCTCAAATGGAATGACGTAATGAATTTATGTTTTTCTTTTAAAAATGTTCAGCCTATTTAAAACCAAATCCTTGATAATGTAGCTAAAATGTCAAATTTTGAAACCAAAGTACGAACAAGCAATCAGTTCATGACGAATCATCGCTGTTCAGCAGTTAGCTCTCCACTAAAATCACAGTAAAGCACACACACTACTGGAAAAAGAAATGATCAGGAACCAATTTAAACTTCATAGTGCAGCTTTCCCTGCGAAAGATGCAAAAATTCATGAAGTGCTGCAACTGCCCCTATGGCTCCTCAGATTAGCAGATTGCCGCGGGGCAACGGCAGGTTTTATTTCGTGATCTTGTAAAGTGACTTTTAAAAAATAGATTGCTTATTTAAGTTCTTAGAAAAACCGCATACTGCGGTCCTTGTTAACACGCATGCTGCCAACTTCCACAAGCCAACATCTAATCCCTCTATTAGCATACACTTTGCTAGGAGTCCAACTGATAACACTTAAATTATAATATAGTATCATGGATATATTACAGTTACAGATGAAACTAAGATCAAATTCAATTTGACAAATTAATGTACTCCAATTAGAATTAGACTTCAGTTTTTGGCTTCAATTCTTACCAGCCCTTATCACTACTGCTGCTCAAAGCATTTCAAACACTAAATATGGCATATGCACAGTTTTCACTATTTTCAGCAATAATGATGCACATTTTTTCAGGAAATGATTCAATGTGCATAAAGGAATACCAAAATTGCTAAGAGCAAATAATTGACCAACCTGTTGTCCACTAACATAGACGTTACTATCCTGGAACTGAGACGCAGAAAGATCCTCATTGGGAGCAGGGTTTCCAGTTGTTGTAGCTGAACTAGGGTTATAGTTGACAGGAGAGGATCCATATGGCGCATATGTGCCAGGCACTCCAATGTGAGCTGAATTTCCCACATTAGCTCCTGGTCTATATTGCGAAAGAGAGTATCTGGCAGCAGCTGATGGTGGAGGTGGATATACACCGCCAGCTTGAGGTTGCTGGGAAAAGGCACCATTGCTTAATAATTGATGGATGGCTGTTGGTGGAACATAAAGCGGTGAAAAGTAGTGACCATATGGAATATAATTCGGATGATAATGGGGCAGATGCATCCCAGCAGCCTGCCGAAATACAGGGACAGGTTGCTGTGGTACAGCTAACGAACTCTGCATAAGCCCAGCAGCTTGAGTCACAAGTGGCGTCGGAGCGGCAGTAGATAAAGCAAGAGTGTTCCCGCCCTGCAGAACAATCAAATAAATATATAGACGCACAATCTTAGGTGTGGGTCAACTAAATTAAAGCATCATAGCAATGCGATATCCCAAAACTAAACAATTGTTGCCTGCAAATTATTTATAAAGCAGTAGCGGTATAATTTCCAATAGAACTACTTGAATATCACCATAAGAAGTTAAATCAAGATTTATCTATCGCAAAGGACAGAAAGGCATCCAAGCAAAGGATTTTAGTGTATATTGAGAAGTAGTTGAACATATTTACTCTTTACTCAGTGGCTCAATGAGATTTCCTAGGAGAACTCATACAATATTAAGGGAAGCATGTTCTAGTGAAAGGAAATTTTGGTGAGCTGACAATTTAAACAGCACTGGCATCTCTAATCTTTTCTCTGGTTTATTCAGAAAGAATTTGCCTGAATATGATTCACTTCCGTTGTTGCATTTCAGATTGTAGAGAATTGACTTCTGTGTCAATTTAATAAAGCTAAAAAATCAACCAGGCACTAATTATGACTCAAGTATACAGGGAAAAAGAGAGCTTTTCTAGATCTTTAGCCAAACACCAGTACCCTAACCCTTAGCACACACTTTTCTTCCCTTCTCCTTCTGCTTATCTTTTTCCCCACAAAATTAGAGACAAAAATATAAACCTTAAATCAGTCAAGATGGATACCAACCTCTTGAGAAGATTGAGAAGTTTGTGGAGGCACAACAGCAACACCGCCATTGTACTGGGTAGAAACACCCGCTGAATGAAAAGGTGAAATGCGGCCATCAGTGTCAGCACTCGAACGGTAGAATTGGGCATAGTAGTTTGTTGGGTCAATGGGTTGCTGAACCTGAACAAATGGATAGCTATAACAGTTCTGGAGTATAATAAGTAAATTTTCCAAGCTTAACAACACAAATGCTTAAAGTATATTGATTATCATTTAAATGTTTTAAATATTTTTCGGAGAAGTAATTGTTGTTAAATAGTTCTACAGCCATCAATAAGAAACAGACACAACCAAATAGCACGTGAATATCCTAGGTCCCTGCTACTCAAAGTTGAGGTAAAGCCAGTAGACACTGAGATTCAGTATTCAATCAAACTGCTGCAATGTTTAAAGCACCCATTTGAAAGTTCATTATATTAATAACAATTTGAAGCTTCAGAAAGTATTATAATGACAAAATAGGTATACAAAAATCCAGAGAATGAAGACCTACAAGGAAATTTGGAAGACGAGAAACATCTCGAGGTTGAGATTCAGAGCTATCAAAGGGCGCGAGCTGATTGCCTAACATTGGTGGCACAAAGCCAAAATTATAGTTGGGCGATGTATGAACAACTGAATATTGTTGACCCGACTGCAGAGTCTCTGGCTTCGATTCACTGCACTCCGGAGCAGAGGATGAGATATCATCTCCTTTGGCAGAGAAACTCTCCTGTCCATGTGAAGGTGGAGGCTGATAAGAATAATCAGTGTCCTCTACAGCTGTTGATGCATTTTGATTACTGCATATGCTCATACAAAAGAAAGATGTCAGGTGTGAAAAGCTAGAAATGGCGGAGGTGCAATTATAATCATGCATCAGCATTCAATTTTGATTTGGAAAGAAAAGATTCCACCAAGTCGAGAATAAAAAACTAAGAAGCAAACATGCTCACTCACACCAAAAAACTGAAAAAACGGGGGGAACTTTCACAGCTACAAAAAAACTGAAAAGCTAGAAATGGCGGAGGTGCAAATAATCATGCATCAGGATTCAATTTTGATTTGGAAAGAAAAGATTCCACCAAGTCGAGAATAAAAAAACTAAGAGGCAAACATGCTCACTCACACCAAAAAACTAAAAAAACAGTGGGAACTTTCACAGTCCCCCCCACCCCGAAAAAATATTCACACAAACTTTTAGGTCTCTATGTCCACAACGATCTTTTCTAAAAGAAAAGAGCCATAAAAGAAGAAAACAACTTAAGGTAAAAAAAAAAAAAAAAATTAACTAAGCAGTTGGATTATAAGGTTGAAGATTAAGCACTTAAACTAAAAAACTAAAGCTCGTGTCACTTAAAACTTTAGGGCACTGAATTTCAGGTAATCAAGTTAAGTCTAAATTAATCACTTTATCCAATTAAAGTGTCCTAGTTTGACTAGAGTCTAGACACTGTTTTAAGTTGAGGCTTGAAACTTTTGCATTTAAATATAAGTAGGCTGTGGTCGGAGCTTTGGCTCAATGATAAGAGCGCAGGCACGTCACAGGTACAAAACCCGCCAACAAAGAAAAGCCTTGTACTTGAGTGGAGAAGGGTAGAGGGGTGAGCCCACATCCACCAACTTTCGAACTTGCGCTACGGCCTTTGGGATATATATATATATATATGTGTGTGTGTGTGTAAAAATAGGTCCAAAATGGAGATAAGAATAAACTTATCAAGAATTTTAACTTTCTTTAGGGAAAAATAGGGTCCAGCAATACCTTAATTCTTTTTAAGTGGACCCAAAGCTGGGACAACCTGGCACAAGCCAAAGTAGGATATAGTTAAACTATCACACTGGAGTGGGACAAAGGGAGTAGAGGAGGAATCTGAATCATCTATCGATAGCATGTTTTGAGTTGATCCTTTAATATTACTGTTGAAACCGGAATCGTGAAACCAACAGACTTCCTACAGATTCAATAATAGTTACTTTTTCTTGGTTGATAAACTGCAAAAGAACTTGTCCCATGAGGTGATCATATATAATTCTAGCTTATGATTTATGGCGTCCCTTCCATTCATAAATACACCAACCAAACAAAGAACACATTTCCCTTATTCACTCCATAAATGAACAATATAAAGAGAACACTACATATATCCGCCAAGGGAATGTACATTTCCCTTTCTGTCAGCCAGTGAGATCATATGTCAAGAACAAAGGAAAGAGATACGATGAGAAGCCAGCAAGCAGGAGATCCTTAATTCAATCATCTGCATTACATTTCCAGCTTAAAGATGATTAAGCTAATGATAACGAAAAGCTTCCTAAGTACAAGAGAGGGGTGCAGAGAGAGAGAGAGAGAGAGAGAAACCTTGGAGGCTGTTCACTTGCAGCTTCTTCAATGCACTCAGAAGCTTCAGGAATTGGTGGACTTCCGTCATGCTCGGGAGCATTGTTTGTGCTTGTAACCAAACTAAAGCTAGTGTCGAAACTTCCAAAACAGAATCCAAGTTTTTCAACCTCAGGGACGTGAAGGTGGTTAGGGATAATTACATGCTCAACATCTGAAATGTGTGATTCCTCTAACTTTTTCTGCAGCTCTGCAGTATCTTCTTTTGTTTCAGGAACAGCAGCAGGAGGCTGCAATAGTGTATTGACTTCAACAGAGACCATAGAAACACCAGACGAAGCAGCTGCAAGAGCAGACCCCTGAGCTAGATTATTGTTAACAGGCTTTGGCTTCCATTCCTTACAAGGACCTGCTGTATAAAAACATAGAAGTTAGTGTTATGTTTCCAGCATGAATAACTACACAGGTGGGGAAAGACAAACTCTATTAGCTACAATGCATTTTCTTTATCTTTCCCAATCTAGCAAGTGAACTCTAACCAACAAACAAGCAAAGAGACTGACACCACTAAGGTTCAAAATTAGAACAAACACACAAAAGAAACAAAAACTATACTGATCCAAGCAAAAAGACAATTATCTAAACAGAGATCACTACTACTAACCTTTGCCAGTGTTATCAAATGCGAAAAGCACAAAAAAACTCCAAGCACCATTGGGGCTTTAAGCGCAAATAAAGCGTGGGCTTTAATGAAGAAAGCCGCAAATGAAAAAAAAAAATACAAATATGTATGTGTAGTCCAAGACTAAGATTATAAGCATGAATAACAAATATACGGGCAAAGAAATTGAAAGAAAAATAACGATAATGTGAAATATCAATTGTTAGTGTCGCCTCTTCAGGATTACGCTCATTGGCAAGGAAAAGTATGTCTTAGAGCCTTGATGATGACAGTGAAGTGCCTGCTAAGCGAGGTGAAGCACTCAACATGTTTAGCGCCTCGCTTCAGGGCCTAAGTGTGCTTTAAGTGCACCACTGACCTTTACCAGACAGTATCCAGTAAACTTTACTTATGCCAGGGACCAGATAACTAGCAACGAGCCAACAACCAACATTCTATTTCGAAAACATGAACATTTCTGTTGCACTTAAAGATTTCTGGTGAATCAAAACATTTTGATTTTTGGAAAGTCAAGCTTGAGCTAAGTTCCAGCTCAAACTATCTTTTTTATTTGTGAACTGTTCTAAAAATTGTCAATGTACATTTTAGGGGGGGAAATTAAGAATGTACATTATGATATAGGCTCGGCAACTAGGGCTGGCCCCCTCCCTCCGATGTGCAATGGAGGTCACCAACCTCAGACGGGCCATATTGACCACCCATTAAGCCCATCTATATATGTATATGTATATTAAGAATATAAATCGAGTAATACAGAAATATAAAGTTAAAACAACTGGAAAAAAATAGTGCTTTTATTATCAAGTCAAAGTATTTGAAAGTATCCAGAAAGATGCATATAGTTGGATGTCTTGTATCGACACACTATATTTTATGATACATATAGTTGGATGTCTTGTATCGACACACTATATTTTATGATACATATAGTTGGATGTCTTGTATCGACACACTATATTTTATGATACATATAGTTGGATGTCTTGTATCGACACACTATATTTTATGATACACATTATAATATGAAGTATACATAAGGCAGAAAACCTTCATGAAAACATTACATTTTATGATACACATAATAATATATTTTTAACAAACATAAGCAAACAAAACTCTATTTTCCACTAGCAACTTGTTTAATCTATGTTGATCTCAATTTCGGCTCATATGACCAAATCAATGAGAATTTAAAATTCTCAGTGTTGCATGAAAAGCACCTTTTCTATGTTTCTTATGACAAGAAAATTGAAGATATATCTTCATTAATATTCCAGAAGCTTGTATTCTCTATTCCCTGTTATGGCATGTAAAAGCATCCAAGCAAAATTGCCACACTCATTCTTCTTTTTTCTTTGGATAATCATGGTGTCTAGGCCAGCTTGTGCGCACCTCGACTAATTTCACAGAGTACTTGCTACCTCTCACTAGCACAGATACCGGGCGACTCTATCTACTAAGGCTTGGACAATTGGGAAGACACTACCTATTATTTTTTTGCCTCTATTGGGATTTAAACCTGAGACCTCATTGTTCTCAACCCACTTCATTGACCAATAGGCCACACCCTCGGATGCTGCTACACTCATTCTTCTTCAAAGTTCTTCGTAACATATGTTGTTTTAACAATGTACGATCTTACCCACAAGCAAATGCTCTTGTGGGAAATGGTTGTTATGTTTCTTGATAAATTGCATTATGGTATAAATAAATAAATAAATAAATAAGGCAGCCCGATGCACAAAGCATCTCACGTTCAGGCAGGGGCCGGGGAAAGACCGCAACCCAAGGGGTGTGATGTAGACAACCTATCATAACACAACCATTAGTGATTGCTTCCATGGCTCGAACCCGTACTTATAGGTCACACGGAGACAGCTTTACCGTTGCTCTAAGTCCCCCCTTCTAAATTGCATTGCGGTATCAAATCAAATGTTCCTGTGGGAGATGGCAGGAACTGGATAACATCTTTATATTCATTCTCTCATCTATTGATGAAAAATATTCATTCTCACCACCATACTAGGACTTTGCAGATGAATTCATTTGTTTCTGCAACAGCAAGGTAGTATTCCCCTGAACATTTAAATGTCTATTTCACTTTATTGATTTAAAAGAAAAATTCATAATATACTCCAACCCAAACATTTAAATTTTGAAACTTCATAATTATGACACCTATAACTAACCAACAAATTTTTATTTTTATTTTTGGGGTTGGGCAGTCTGCTTTACGGCTTTTACCAATACCAGGAGATAAGGTGCATGTGAATAGATATAGGTCTTGAAGATTTCTAGTTTTTTGTTTTATGAAAGAAGACTTCTAGTATTTTTTTTATGAAAGAAGATTTTTAGCATTCTACTCGATCCTAATACACCGTACCATTTTGATCGCTGCCAATTTCACATAATTTACAGTTATTCCTAAAGCTGAAACCTAGGTGTAATAGCAGAATTTTGTTCTGGGTAGATGGATCAACAAAGAACCTGTTCCTCTTCGTTTTCATGATTAGGCTCTTCGTCTAAAAGTTACTTTAATTATAATTCAACCTTCCCTTACCCAAGTGTCCCACGGTGTGGTATAATACTGGGTATGTTGTTGTTGTCGTCTTCCTTTACCCAAGTACAAAGGTAGAAGAACATTATGCAGGTAATTATGAGGCAAAAACCAAGAACTTCAATTATCAAACTAAGCAGCAATAGTAACAAAATCAGTTTGGTAAATCTTTTGAGAAGCTGGGGCATTAAAAGCAATATTCTAACATAGATCACACTAAATTACTATACCTTTTTGTGTACCAATCGTTTGTGATCGATTGTTGTAATTAGACGAAGGCCTGCTAACGGAAGAACCACCATGGATTGAAGAAGCAGTTTGCAAGAACTCTTGAAGTTGATTCTTTCCAGGCCCCTGAAATTTGCTTGGCATCTTCACTTGTATATCTACGCTTCCAGTATCAGACTTTGCTACTCAGATTTGAGGGGAAAGAAATATATAAGCTTCGACACATATAACAAGTCCGTCTATTTAAAAAAATAAAAGAAAATAATAAAATATAATTATACTAATCATAACTATTCTATCAAATAATAACAGTTTCATATTATCATTTTTTTGAGAAGGGACGGTTTCACATTATTAAGTCTTCAAAGCATTTACCAGTAGTCTTTTTACTCCCATTGGAGTTTGAAGAAGCACGTTCAACTGGAGAATGCTGGCTCCCAACTTCCCTTCTAACTGTGCCTACTACACCAGCGGGTCGTGAATCTTGAGATGGCAAGAGCACAGGATCTGAAGCTGAGAGATGAGCTCCTGATGGAGGTGGTGAAGATAGAGTTCTTGAAGAATTGACGGAGTTTGGCCTCCTCTGCCCATGTACATCCCTATTTCCCGTAGCCACTTTTGGGATTTTGCTTGCATCAGCAGGAGTTGTCTGCACACCAGAGCCAGCACCTGCATATGCTTCAAATTGTTTAATTCCTCTTCTTGCAGATGCATGAGCATTTTGTACAATGATGTCGCTCCCGGAAGCTAGACCACTAGGCCCATTAGTAGCGGCACTTGATGAGCTGAAAAAAAGTAAAGAGAATTAGGGCTTCAAAATTATGAGTGTTTGGATAAGCTTATAAGCTGGTCAAACCAGCTCATAATCACTTGTTAGCAAAATAAGACCACATAATCTAGGCAACCAAAACCTAAGAGGGCATCTTTTGTAACATGTGAAAGGCTTAACCTTGGCAATCCAAGATTCCAAGGTAACATGCATATGAAACAATGCCTGGGCAGGGAAAAATCCATAAAGATCAATATTACCTTGAAATATTTTTTGCCTCAACATTAGGCACAGAAGATAAGCCGACACTCTTGTCAAGAAAGTGATTGGTCAAATTTTCTTTCCCATTCTTTCCAGCACCTGCATCTGACAAAACATACACACATAAGTATGAGTCTTTCCCATTCTTTCCAGCACCTGCATCTGACAAAACATACACGTGTGTACGAGTCGGTAAGGAAAAAGAGGAACATAATATCAAATCTAAAAGAAATACAAAGGTTCTTTCGATGAGCTAAATGGAAAGGCATCAAAGACTCAAGAGGGAAATCAATTCTTTTAAAGCCTGATAGCAGTCGGAAAGCCTGAATAAGAGCTTAAAATCAGTTAAAATGTATCTGAAATAACAGGTGAAATGTGTAAACAGAGTGACAGATTGTAGATTAGACATTTAATTTAAAATATTAGAAACCAGAGTCTTTTGTCATTCAGCAAGAAGGGTATATCAGAATAGATGGAAAAGGAAGTAGGTTGAGTATATTAGAAAAGAAGATGGGCTAGTAAATTAAGATTCAGAAGAACACAAATGTGGAACCAGGGGTCCAGGGCTCTGCAGCATCCTGAGAGACTACAACAAATGCAGGATTATTAACAAAATTGACGTTTACCATGTGAAACATGACGAGAAGTCAAATTTCCACGACTCCCTTTGTTCCCCCTGCCCTGCGTGCCGGCTTTCCACTTTGATTCAGCAGATTCCTTGATTGAATTCTGAAGCTATTAATGCAGAAAGAGCAGGTGAAAAGGTCTACGGCAACCCAAAACACTTCCGCAGTAATTATGTGTTTAAGAGAAAAAACTAAGTAATTTAAGCAAGATGCTTATACCAAATTGGATATATCCAGAAGTCCTCTGAAAAAATAAACCCATTTGACATTCATTAGGTCTTAAGGACCAAAAGGTGAATGAATTCTGCTAAGATGCTAAAGCATAATGGTTTTGAATCAGGAATATTTTGATAAACAATGGCATTAATCAGGACTACTATGTGATTTTCTTCAGCAGAACAACAAGGTAAGCTGCAACGATGATTACAGCAGTTGAACAGAAGATGGCATTTGCAAATGCTGAACAGCTACATGATTGCAACAGGTTTATGGATATGTTAATAAGTTCACTATTATTTCAATGTTATAGTGAGAGATCGTAGTTATGCAACTCAGTTTCTAACCATACCTCCTTTTTTCGATCACGCTTCCTTTTAACTTCATGGAATGTATCTGCAAAGAAAGCGTAAAAGAGGTTAGTAAAGAAACTTAGTTTATGTCACCAATGCAAGGATACCGAGAAAGAGAGCACAAGAGGCCCTTTATGCTCCTATAATGTGAACGCCACATTTCCCTTATCAAAAAAAAACTGTGAATTACACATTTCTCTTAAAAGCATTAGACCAACCATCAGCCTATCGTACAATAAATCATAGCTACAAGATGTAATTTTAACCCCAAATCAAATGTAATCTGCTGCAAAATCTGATCTTGAACCAAAGGTAAATTTTAACCTGCTCCCCCCCCCCCCCCCCCCCTCCTATGGGGAGGGGGGAGGGGGAGGGTGATTGCATCTATCAGAAGTCTTTTGATATCAAATACCAGAACAAATTAAAGGCAGCCCTTTTACACATATGCCCAAAACTGCTTTTAAGTGCATCATTCAGGAATACCAAACAAATTTAAAACATCAGAAAAAAGAAAGAAAAATAACAACAAAAAAAATAAAGAGTAAGAAGAAAGAATGAAAAACAAAGGCCACAGGGACATGAGAAAAAGAAAAAAAGAACCGACTCAATTGAGTATGAGGCACACACATGCAAAATACCAAAAGGAGAAAAAGTAAAATTCAAAAAAAAAAGGTCACTCATAAAAACTCATTCTATCAAGTAATCAAAAGCTAGAAACAGATCACAAAACAAAGCAAACATTCACACACAGAACGCTTATAAGTACATACACAAAACAACACATAGAGCTACATACACACACACACACACACATAATATATATATATACACACACACACACACACACACACACACACACACACACACACACACACACACACATTGACATATGTATATAAAGGGGGAAAAGGAATGGACCTTGAAAGAGGAGTTTTTGAGCAGTTTCGTTGGGATCCATAGAGCATTCTTTGAGCATTGCATATATCTCATCTTCACTGTGATTTCCAGTGATCTCTTTTATATCCTGGATCGTTTTCCTCACACTGCTCGGGATTGAAACCCTAGCTCCTACTCCAACAACACCACTGTTACCACTCTTACTGTTGCTATTCATCTTCACCACCACCCTTAGAACCCCACCAATATTCTTCCTCCAGTACTATATGTATATAAAATATAGATTCCTGTATATACCTAGCTATATATCTCTCTCTATATATATATGTCTCTCAC